CCCGGGCTCCGCTGGAAGCCGCTCCCGGCGCCTGCAGACCCCGCGAGGACGTAGGGCCAGTCCGTGCCAGACTCAGAGTCGCGGGGTGCCAAGTGAGCTGCTCTGGCCGTGCTCAGCACGTCCCAGTTCGGCAGTTGCTGCGCTTTCTGCCGCTTCCAAGTCAGGAATCTCCGGAAGGGCTCTCGCTGCTTGCAGTCTGTCAAATTTCGTGGCAGAACCGGTACGTTGTTGCGCCCTTTGCTGACTTCTGCCACCTCGGGGTGAGCATACTTGGAACACAACCTCAGCGTAAGTCATAACGCAAACCGGACCGGCTCCGGGCGTCGAAGCAGCACCGACCCGCTGGTGCTGAGCAGGTGTGAGGAGAGGCTTATCCAGATGCACCCCGGCCCGCTCCAGAAGCGCGGATGTTGTTTGGATGTTGTTGCGTAAGATGACGTTGCTCACGAGTGTCCCAGACTACAAGAAGGAAGCTGTGGAACAAGGACGACCTTTAAGTGTTAGTAAAATTACTCATTTAACAGGAATTAAAAAAGAATGTCCTGCCCCTTTAAAGTCCACCGGTCTAAGTTAAGCTTTTCGGGGACCTTCCAGCACGGCAGGAAGCACCGCGTTAGGTAAGCGATGCCGCTTGCATCGTGCCCTTTGAGATAAAAAGTGGGACAAAGCCTCCCCACTAAAGAGTCCGTGATCCAAGGACCTGGGCGTGGATTTGAGTTTTACTCGGCACCCCGATGTAGGCTGGGCAGAGGTGGCAGGATGCGGTGGTGTATGCGCTGAGTGGCAGAGGAGCAGACGGGAATGGTTCCCCAGCCGGGTCAGATGGTGGGAACTACCGAACTCTTATCGTTGGGCCCTTCACTGACGGGGTTGCTGTCGTTATTTAGTGGAACTTGTAAATGTCTCCAGCCCTTTCACCTGGGCTCCTCCTCAGCGCCGTGTACGGGAATTTCTCCTCAGCTTCCAGGTTCTTGAGAAAGCACGCTGTGCCTGAGACGCCCACGCATGGCACCCACACGTGCTGTGTGCGGTTGCCTCTGGCAGTCACGTCGCGTGTCACGCAGTGCTGGTGTCGGTTGTGTTCCTGTAGGTCTGCCGTTCCGTGTGGGCACTTAGGGAAAAAGTCCACAACAGGTAGCAGTGAAGCATGATGGAAACTACTCCACCTTTCTTCCTCTTCAGCTGCTGATAAACAACCCGTTGGTGCACTTTGGCTTTGCCGTTACTGCTGATCTCCGTGTAGCCTGCGGTTACGGCTCGCGTTTTCAACCAGGAAGCAGATGAGATGGACTTTAACTTTGAGAAGACCCAGCTCTAAATTACAGAGGGTCCGTCACCTGTACGACTGCCGCAGAGGCAACTGAGCACTCCTGGGTGGAAATCGCTGTTGCCTGTCTGTTGAGAGTTACCTTTTGGGCATAACAATTTTGCAGCCGATGCCTGCGGATTAAACGTGACCCTGGCTTACTTAGAGCCCAGCCCAGAGGTTGTGGCTGGTTGCTTGGTAGCACATGAAATCTGCTCCATCCCATCATTGTGTTTCTCGAGAGTCAGAGGTCAAAGCATGGAACTCGTGCCGGGAGTCAACTAGACCTGCGTCGCGCCCCGCTGAGAGTTCTGGCCTAGTTTTGGGGAGGTCGCATCTTTCACACCGTATTCTCCTCAGACATTTGGGGGTTACTCGTTTTGCTGTGATTTGACTGTTCTCCGTAGGTTTTACATACGTTGCTAGGGTTGGTATTTCATTGTCTGAGACAAAGAAGAGCTAACAGACAGGAAAGCGACGGCCGCTGCAGAAGTTTCTCCCTTTGCGCTGGATTTACAGTCCACTCCTCCTGTTCTAAAACAAGCAGCAGTTCCACTGGAGCTGCGGGTTAACTCCATCTCCAGCCTGCGCAGATCTGCTCCTGTGTGGGAGAGATTTTTCTCTGCCATCTGCTGATTCATACGTGTTTATGTGATGCAGGATTCTCTGCCAGAGTTGTAAGAGTTTCTTGGAACTCCGGTCATGCAACAGTATTGCTTAACAATGGAAGGGAAAGCAGAGGCTTCCTCTTGAGAATGCCAGGAAAAAGAAGGAGAAGAAGGAAGTTTTTTCCTTGCTGGAGCAGTTTGCTCTTTTTCTGAACAGCAGCAAAGGCACTTTTGTTCTTCTCAAAAAATGTGTTCCTGTGCTCAGTCATGTTTTGTCTGTTCCCAAAATGGGAAAAGCTGGGCTCGTTGGTAAGAGCACTCATGGGCAGTTTGTCCTTTATTGCCAGAGCAGGAAGTGCCTGGGAGAAGGTCACACAGGATTCCGGTCCAGTCATGTATTGTCACTAACAATGTTCTCACCCCTTAAGCACCAAGACTGAAAGTTGCCACGGTTGCCGTGGAAGCTTGTTTCCAAGGCTGGTAAATCACGTGTGTGAGAATGGAGGAAATGCAGTGTCACTAATGTGACTTTCCTGACAGGCGCAGAAATGTGGTTTATAAGGTAATTGCCTTGAATCTGAACCTGTACACTGAAGCGGGGATGGATCGCAAGTGAAGTGCTGGAACATCTGAAGATACAGGGAAAAATAGGATTCTCTTGTTACATTTCATAGTAGTTTGATTAATGTAGATATATTTATCATAGAACCACAGAGCAGTTTGGGTGGGAAGGGACCTCAAAGCCCACCCAGTCCCACCCCCTGCCATGGGCAGGGACACCTTCCCCCAGACCAGGCTGCGCCAAGCCTCATCCAGCCTGGCCTTGGACACTTCCAGGGATGGGGCATCCACAGCTTCTCTGGGCAACCTGTCCCAGTGCTTCACCACCCTCTGCGGGAAGAATTCCTTCCTGATGTCCCATCTCCATCTCTCTCTTGCCTTTTAAACCTGTTACCCCTTGTCTTGTCACTGCCTGCCCTTGGAAAAAGCCCCCCCAGCTTTCCTGTAGCCCCCCCAGGCACTGGAAGGGGCTCTACGGGCTTCCTGGAGCCTTCCCTTCTCCATGCTGAACCCCCCAACTCTCCCAGCCTGTCCCCATGGCAGAGGGGCTCCAGCCCTCAGAGCATCTCCGTGGCCTCCTTCAGACTCGCTCACACTGTAAAGGCTGTGGTGGTCTTTATTAAAAAAGTGATTTCCCTGTCCCTACTCAAGTGAGAAAAGCCGGCTGTCGCCTGCCTTGTGTTACTCAGAGGGTTTGACGCCAAACGCTCCACAGCGGAGCTCCAGGCTCCCCCTCTTGAGAGGGGTCACTGGGGCTATGACTGTGGTACCCACCTCGGGGGGCACATCCGTACCCGCACACGGTGCGCACGTGCATCCTCCCAAAAGGTCACTCCTCCTTTCCTGAGCTAGCAGGTTTGTAGCACGGCGGAGCGGCTGGTCCCGGGCCGGGCGTTAGAAAACGTGAGGGCACGAGGGACGGGGAGAAGGGTTGTGTATGACCGCACGACGTGCTGCTGAGTGGGTTTTATCCTTCACACTGGACGCAACGTCATGGTGACTCCGTGTCAGCACCCACACCTACCAGTCTGCCAGGATTTGAAACGCATCACGTACGTTTCTAGCGACACAGCAGCTGGTAGCCACATCTCATCCAGAACATGATCTTCCACTAAGTGGCTGCGTTGCATCAGCAGAAAAATCTTGAGGAGATACGCTTTTTGAAAGTCTTAGATTATTTTATCTGTTTTCAGCTTACTTACTCAGCTTCACTGCACATAAGACTTCTCTCGTGTAAAAGCTGCACGACCATCCCTCTCCCAAGCGGGGCTGATTATGCCGTGGCTGGGTGTTTTCCAGCCTCCTGCTTGGTGCTGGCTGATGAACAAAGCTGCTCTCTGCCGAGGGAAGGCTCGGAGGGCTTTGCGGAGCACGGTGTCTAGAAGCTGATATCTAGGGCACTGGTGGCAGGATGTGGGGAAACGCTTTACTCGGGCACTTCGTTCTGCTCAGATGGCTGGAAGAGTTAAAGGATCATGGGGCTTTGGTGACGTGTTGATGGTCAGAGGTTGGGGTCTGGTGCTTACCCGTTTGGGATCCCCTGCTAGCAGCTTTGCTTTCCCAGTAGCTAAGAGTCAGTCCACTGCCGATGTCAGTTGGAATCCTCTAACGGAAACTGTGCGGGAGCCTCTTCGAGGTAATTTGTGTTACTCTGCAAGAAGCAGAAGCAGTTCCAAGAGCAAGCTTCGGGGGGATCAGGCACTGCAGGGGCTCTGGTAGGCAGATCTACCCTAACGAGGACACTGATGTAAGCTTACAATAATGTTTTCTGTTGGCAGAGTTTCAGCACAGCTTGTCCTGCTGCACCTGGACAGTGTCAGTGATGGCAAGACTCCCGAGCGCTGCCCCGCACACCCTCTGGATCCTTTTCTTGTACGCAGCAAGCGAAGGTACGTTTGTCGGTGGTTCAGATTGCTGTGCTGAAGTTCTCATCAACAGCGTTTGCCCGTGACCAGTCGGCCACGCTGTTACCGCTCATGAACCAATGTAAAATGTGCCTCCTCAGATGTCAGAAATGTCCATGGACTAGAATACGGCCCTAGACTTTTTTTTTTTAATTGACCTTTCCCACATGGGCAAAAAGAAACTGGAGTTTGCAGGACGGAAAAACTGAGGTTTGGAAGGTCAGGTCCCGGGTTCCCCATTGTCTGATCTATCGGACACCTTGCTGCAAGCAGGGTGCTGAGCGGCGCCCGGGGCACATCTCTGTACAAGTCCCGCAGGAGCAGAAAGCGTTTGTCTCTTCTGCTTGTTTTCCTAAGGGCAGCGTCCGCCCCGCGGCACCTGGAGGGTGACGGGATGGAGCCTGTAGAGCTGCTGTTGGAGGGCATCTGCCCACGTGGGTTCTGCAGGGTGTGCGGTGACTCAGGTGGAGGATTTCATGGATGGGTTTGGAACAGACTGTGCAGGCCCTTGCTGCACACCACGAGCTTGGCTGTGCCTGTCCGGGATGTCCTGGGTGTCCTTCACTACCCATCCGTTTGCTCCGGCAGGACGTGGAGCTGCATTAGGTCTTAGTGCTGCTGGGGAGCTAACGGTTATTGCCTGAGGGTCAGCTGGCAGGGCCTGAATGTGGCAGCATTGTTTTCCCTGCAACTTTTACTTGATTTCAAAGACAAGTTGGATATATAAAATCATGTTTTATGACAATGAGTGTTTATTCTCTGGAAAAGGAACCTTACACTTTGCTTTCTGCAGGTTTTAAGGAGCCTCGCAGTAGTCTGCAGTCTCCTGGTTTCCTCTTCTTTTTTTCCAAAAGCAAAACTAAATAAAGTTAAAATAGCCTGTCCCTACACAGAAGGTTTATTAGCTTCTTTCTTGTGTGTTGTGAAGTGGCACAGTTTGAACTGATGAGACGGATCAAGGTTTTGGAGGGTGCGTTGCCTGGGCCATGTACTCTGGTAATCCCACGTTCTGAAAAGGATCTTTATCCAGGTTTAATTTTACAGGTGTTTTCTCTAGTTAACTGCCTGTTCTAAGTTTCTTCAGCATGGTGTTCTAGTTGAGGATTAAAAAAGAAATGCCGTATTTCAGTTCCCTTTTTTAACTACACGAACTGAAAACAAGCTCTGCCCCGTGTGTGGTGGCAGAAGGAAATTCTCAAGTGTCTGAGGTTTAAAATAAAAGGATGGCAGAGAGGGAACAGGGTGAAGGTCAGAGGAAAAGGAGACAGAAGGCCATTTAGAGTTCTGGAAAGGCATGAGGGCACTGAAAGGGAAGATAAAGTCAAGCTGCCAATCATCGTTGCTTCCCACAGTAGGAAGGACTTCATCTAACTGAAGTGTTCCCAAAAGGGCAGGGTGATGCTCCTACTGCTTTAAAAGTGCCTCTTCAAGAGGAATATTAACGAAACTACAAATGGCAACCAAGTGTAAACAGCAGCCCCTTGTCAAACAGGTAATGGCTCTTTCAAAAGAAAGGAGCAGTGTGACTGTTAGTTGCAGAGATTTAGTCTTGCTGCCCTTCTGATGATTCTTGGGGTTTTTTGACAGTTGAGGACCATACAGAGCAAAAAGGAACCGAGTCTGGTGCTGCCATCCAGGGGGCTTATGAGAGACAGATGAATAGCTGGCCTTAGGAAATGGTTTGGTTTGTTCCAGTTACTAGGTGTTTGACCCCCACTGCCGCCGTGAGCTCCCAGCATACCAGAGTCTGCAGAATGATCTGTACAGAATTTTAAACTGGTTCCTTGACGGGGCCGAGCTTACTGGAGCCATCCAGGGCTGCTGGGTGTCAGCTTAGTTTGGGACAGGCAAGTGAAAGTGATGTGGCTTTTAATGAGGGTGAAAGGCCATACGCTAACAGTACTGAACAATTCAGGGTTTGAGTCGGGTTTCTGTTGAGGCACGGGGGTCTGGTGTCCAGCCCGTGGCACGTTACGTGTCAGTGAGAGGCGTCTGACCGCCGCGGGTGCTGTGCTGCGCCAGAGGCTGCAGAAGCTGTGTCGCCATGAAGAACGCAAGTAGAGATGCAGAAGGGATGAAAAGAAGTCGGGTGTTTCTGCTTGGGAGGAGTACTCAGAAACTGGGGTACCCCTTGGAAAGGATAAACCTGTGAGGCAGCAGTGGCTGAAGGACAAGGGTCTTTCGGGGTGTGAGCTGTTGGCGAGTTTGTCTTGAATTTGCAGCGTAGCAGGCCGGAGTGGAGAGGCAGCAACGCGCTGGGCATATGCGCAGAACTGCCCCGGGAAGATTGCCCCGGAAAGCTTCTAGCAGAATCCTTGAGCAAACTCTCAGAGCGATGTCAGCTAGTGGGAATCTAAAAATTAGCCAAAGCTATTCAGCACTTTTACGGGGAATTGAGATGTGGAGCAGGAGAGAAGGGCTGGGGTCTGTGCACCTTGTGCCAGAAAGGGGAGAAACAACGTTTACGGTAACAGTGAGGTTGGGCATCAAAGAAGGCAAAGAAGTGTCTGGGATGGTAAAAGTATTAGCTGTTTCTGACTGCTTGTTTGGAAATGATCACATTCCAGTGATCTTACCGTCACACAGCTCCTCCTCCTCTGTTCCTTGTGTCACTCACGTGGAGCACAGTGGAATAATGGAAAATGGGACCGGAAGAGATCCTGGGGATTGTGTATTCCTTTTCTCTTTCCAGTTCTAAGAACAGTGTTTTCATCAATGTTTTCTATTTTTTTTCTTAAATACTGCCAGTGAAAAGAGACTGCAGACACAAACATTGAGGCTTCAGGCTTTTCTGTACCCTCAGTGCCTGGAACGGTGGGACTCTGTTCCTCTCCAGGTCTCCGAACACGGTCATAACAGTGAACAGTAGAAGACAGAGCAGGAAAACCAAGTGAAATTAAGAAAACACATGTACTAGAAGGTCTGTCAGGAAGATCTTCTAGGCAATGGGGAACTGCTCTGGGGAGGCAGAGGGCAAGCTTTTGGGCAGCTTACAACCCTTGTAGGTAAAGCAGGAGTACGTGCCTGTGGGCAGTGATCTCGGTCTGACTCAGTTCATTACCTGCGTTTTGGCTTCTGAGCCCTTTGTACTTCACACGGCGGCGGAAGCTGGTTTAGAATGAAATGTGGATGTGTTCTAGAGCTACCAGAATCGAATTTTCTATGCTTGGAAGACTGTTGATGAGTTGTGCCTTCCTATTTCAATACTACTACTGCAGACCTTCCTCTCCAAGACTGTAGATGTTGTCTCCAGGTTGAGGCTTTTGGTGACATGTCTCTCTTCATTTACCCAGAAAACAAAAAATAGCAATGCTTTCGTTCCATTTCCAGGGGGTTGGTATCTCTCTCTAAATGGAAAAGTTAATGTTGCTGCTTAATCCAGTTTATTCTTTTGATTCTCTGTTTTCTTGCCTGCTGCTTCTCCCCAGCTATGGCTGCAGGACACGTACAGGAATTCGCGTGCTTCACCGACTATGACGAAGAGCTGGTTTGTGACTGGAGGGTGCCTGCACAAACCGATTGCTCCAGGGACTTCCTGCTCTACTACAAGAGTGAATTTCTGTCATTGCCGTAAGTGTTTAGTAAGATGTTACATTATCACTGTTGGAACTTCAGATATCCTGTATCCATTATCAGCTTTGATTCCCTCCCTCTGCTCTGGGTGTCTGGGAGTAAATGTAATCCGGATCATTCTTCCTGGCAGGAGGGAAACGGGTGGCTGCAATAGCAGCACGCTCTGCCTGGTGTTCTGCTGCCGTGCAGACCCCGCTGCCCCCTTAGCACAAAGGAGGGAGCAAGTCCTACCCGTGGGAGTGGTAGGATTCTCATGACTTTACCCAGCTCCATCTCACGTGACGTTTTACCTCGCTCGGGAGAAACCTTACCTCGTTTTCCCAGTCTGCAGCCTGGGAAAGGTACCCCCCGGAGCCCCGTGATTGCCTCTGCGCACGGTCAGACTCCCTGTTCAGGCACGGAACGTTGTCCCTGTTCGGCTGCAGGGCCACTCCTCGTCTCCTACGAAGGGAGATGCATCTGGGCTCTCCTGTTCCTCTCCATACGATTTCTCCACATGGACATCCGAAGAACCTCACTTTGTACACTGCAGTAAACTCTTCCTGCCCTAGCCAGCTGGCAGTCTGCGCCTTCAGAGGCGGAGTGTGACAGAGGGTGCTAACTTTTCCTCTTGGGATCAATCCTGAACCTTTCTGTCCAGTTTTTTGTTTGTAGGATGGAGATATCCAAGGGAAGTTTGGGGGTGGCAGGTTGTGTTGGGGAGCACAGTTCTGGTCTGGATTTGTTTGGGCTGAACGTGTCTAGGAACTGAGCGTTCGTCTCAGATCTGATTAGCTCTGCATGTCGGTGAGCTTGATCTTACCTCGAGAAAGTGTGCTGCGCCCACTAAACATCACATCGTTTCTGCCTGCTTTTCAGCAACAGCGTGTGTGTCCCTGAGAGTGGAAAAGGCAGTTTGACGTGCACTTGCACAATACGTCCGAAGTATTTTGTATCAGGCCTCACGTATATTCTGACTCTGCGGCTCAACGGGACCGATGTGTGGAATTGCAGTGTTACACCAGCCCTGGTTGGTAAGCAACTCTTTACTTTGTCACTGGGCCATCCTGCTCCAGCCTGGCTGCGTTCTCATTTGTGTCACTGGAAGAGTTTTCCTTAGCAGAGGCGGAGAGGGCCACGCTGGCCTCAGCACAACATCCATTTGGCTTAGGGTGTAATTAATGGGGCAAGATGAGAGTGATTTGTCCTCTTGCTGTATCCTCTCTGGTGCCAGCCATCAGCAGTTTGGGGGCTTAGACATTTCTTCACTGCATTTTACTTGGATGAAATGGATCCATTTTACTTGGATTTACAAGGATGAAGAAGTTGCTACTTCCAGGTTCTGGAAGGACACCAGGCTATCCCTGCTGGAATGTCTTCCATTCTGGTCTCTGTCATACTCTGGTTTTTTTCATGCTCCTGAGCAGAGTTTTACAGTCGTTGCTGTGGATTGTAACAACCAGTGGTAGACAGCCAATCGCTCCCTCTCTCACAGGACAGAGCATCGATACAGCTCGTGTCTCTCTGTGGGCACCTGCTTTGATAGAACAGTGTGCTTCTTCGTAACGCCACCTCAACCCTCCGAGGAATCGTTCGCATCCCTTGGGCAGGCGTTTGTCTGCATGGCTAGCTGATTCCTTTCGTCACTGCTGCTTAGCAGCAGAGGAAGCAGGAGCTGGCAACGGCTTCGAAGCAGCAGGAGCCTGGAATGCCTGGCTGTGCAGCTGTCAGGAGCCTGTGCCTACTGCACAGCAGAGCCCGCTGTTCTGAGGGCACAGCTTGTTCCCATTTTTCCAGGCTGAAGGCTGCATCCAGTGCACCAAAAGGTTGAACTTCCCTTTTTTTCAGCCAGCTGGAAGATGCAGAGCTTGTCAATGCATACCTTGCAGCTGCTCTGTTTTGGCCTCTACATCCCTGTGCTACAGCACAGTGAAAAGGGCTCGGTGCATTGACTGTGGTGAGGTCCTGGTCTCTGGTGAATGTTTGTCTCTCTGCATGTCTCCATAAGTGCTTTCCCATTGCCATGTTCTCCTTAACTGTATTTTTTCCACATACAGTTAAGCCAAGGGCCCCCAAAAATCTTGCCATTGAGAAAGCTGAAAATGGTAATTTCAATCTGAGCTGGGAGGAGAGCTACTCTCCTTCATCCATGCTCTTTGGACAGCCAGTCGTCTATGAAGTGAAGTACTGGAGGAAGCAGCACCCAGCGGAGGTAAGAGACAGCCATTCTCTTCTTTTTCTGTCTCTCTGGAGATTTCAGGTTTAAGAAATCCTCTGAAAAGTCATGAAACCATTTTCTGAATAGCGCTGTAAGGGCCAGCAGGGGCAAGTCCCACCGTGTTCCTGATCGCACACGCCACAGGTCACATTGCCCCAGGGTGGTTCAGCTGAGCTTTAAAGGGCTAAAGCTCTCCTGACTGCCACCCCAAAACAGTCTGCTGCTCACAGTAGGCAGGGCAGAGGTTGAAAGTAGAATGCTGCTGTTCCCTGAACTCCATTTGCTCCATCAACATGAGGAAGCTGGAGGCTGTTTGTGACGCTGTGGCAGACATGAGGCATTTCAGACACCCTCGGGATCAATCCAGCCCTTCCGGGCTGGGCTGCTTCTAGCAGGGGAAGAACATGCATGTTGGCATGTCAGAAAAACCACCCACTCACGGCAACAAAACGGAGTCTCACACAGCAGATGAGGTGTACTCATCCATTTACTTATTTGGGAAAGGTCACGGAAACGCACCACACTATTGTTATTTAACTGCTGTCACTGTCCCTTCACCTCATAAGAAAAGCCAAGTGAACTTGCTCGCTTTCTTTTCAGGTTTCTGTAAAAGCAATTAACTACCAGGCCAAAAGCTTTGAAATCACTGCAAGCTCCTTGAGAGGAGGCTCCGACTACATTGCGACTGTACGGTGCAACTACACGGACTACCCGGCCTACTGGAGTGAGTGGAGCGAGGGAGTTGAATTTCACTACGGTAAGTGTTGGAGCAAATAGCAGCTTGACAAAAGGGCGGTGTGGTGGTATGACCCCTGTGGTGTGGTGTTTTGACCCCTGTTGTGTATGCCCCGCGGAGGGGAGAGCCATGGAATCACCGTCATCCTCTTGAACGCGTTGTGGGTACGTCTGTAAAGGCTTCCAGAGAGACTAAACCTAAAAAGGCAACCCCTGAGGCAACTGAGGAAGAGAAGGCCAGGGGAAGTTGGATTGCTTAGCCTTGTGGAAAAAAAGGCTGAAGGGCGATATGTATGTTCTCTATAAACATTTCATGAAGTAGACACCAGGGAAGAGCAAACACGTACACTAAAGCACGCTGACGTGAGAGCAAGTGGGCGTAAGTGAACAGGAGTGTTTAGGTTGCAAACTTGAGCAATGGTTAACCGTCCCAGGGTCTGAAGAGCAACAGAGAGGACAAGCAGCATATCCACCCTGCAGTGGCGATGACTATGCCATTTTAGGGACTGTGTGACAGGTTTGTCCCCAGAACTGACATTTGGCACGCGCAGCGACTGACGCGGTACCGGCGCTGGTCTTCCAGACAAGCCGCGCCGGAGCCTGTGCGTGTGCTGCGTCTGTCTGCTGCAGCCCTTGTTTCACATCCTCTGAGGGGGCATGTTTTAAGGTGCAGAAGGGCAGCAAGGAGTTCTGCGTTGCCTGTACTTGTGTTTATCCGCACGCGTGACGTGCGTGTCTGTTTGAAGATTACCAGGTAACGGCTGAAGACGTTCTGCAGCTGGCTGTGCCCGTGTCCTGCATACTCATCTTGGCAGTGTCTGTGACTTGTTACTTCGGCTTCACCAAGTACGTATCGTGCTGCTCACGGCTCGCGCAGGGTAGCAGTTGCGCAGATATCAGTGTTGCTGTTGACTAACTGAATGTCTGGGACTGGAATCTAATGTTTTGGTTTCCAAACCCTTTATCTCGCTCTCATGAGCAAACGTTTCGTAGGTGCTGATCAGTTGCGCTGTCGTTTTCTGAACAGATAACTGAATATGCTCTATTCATCTTACCAATATGGGATTGTTACGGCGTCCAAGGCAGGGTGCAGGGATGGGATTTGTCAGTTTTGGACCCCAGTCTCTGCTGGGGTTCAGTAATGATGGTGAAGCATGTGTGTTTCTTTTTAATCTCTTCAGCAGTAATGGGAAAGCGCATCCTGTCTGCTGTGCACATCATTCCAGACACAATTAGGAGAACATGTGGCTGTGGCTGTGCAGAGCAGTCACGCACCAAACACACAGACATCTTTGCACGAGCTCAGTGAGAAGCAGCACTGGGAGATGCACAGAACCAGCACTTCCTGTTGCTGCGGTGCCGACGGCTGAGTGGGGGGAACAAAGGAAGACGGAAGCCTACGCTGCGAAAGCCAAAACGCAGTCAAAGCAAACTATTTTCATTCTTCCCTTGCAGAGTGAAGAAAGAATGGTGGGACCAAATCCCAAATCCAGCAAAGAGCCATTTGGTCATCAAAAATGTCAAGGTAATTTAAAGGTTTTGCAAAAAATACCTTTTCCTGATCACCAGAAGTAGAATAGGTACTAAGTGCTGTTGTCTGGCTAGCACAGGGCATACTAAATGCAGTTCACTCTGTCCTAAATCTCATTTCTATCTTTATTAGTTTTCAGTCTTGTGCTACATTGATGAAATGAAGTTCCCTTTCCATGACTTAAAGCCGAGTCATTTGGAAAACCAAATGTAAGTGAGATAAAGGAAAAAAATAATCTGTTTTACAGCATGAAATAGTTTCCTATTCCATAAACATTAACTGTCTTTTTCCTTTTGACTTCTAAAAACAGAAGCTGCAAGAACTGTCTGGCTCAAAGTTTGTCAAGCCAAAGCTTCAAGGGAAAAGATCACATCAGAAGCGATGAGAAGTCTTGCAGCTGCCACAGCAAGTTTGGAGAGTGGTTTCCAAAAGGCAGGAGCGCAGTTTTAACCCCCGAGACAGTTCTGGTTGAAGAGTCCATAGAAATCTGTGAATGTGTGACAGATGCTGAGGCTGGGGGCCAGGAGGAGACCAGCGAGCAGGTCACCACGTTTGAGCCTTGTGAGAGCAGTGGCGGTGCTTTCAGGGAGCATGCTGAACACAACGACGCACTTGCTAGCATGTTCCTTGAGCTTCTGGCAGATGAAAACATCCCAGACAATAAAGACCCACACATCATGATGGGTGAGAGTAAAACCTTTGAGAAACATGGGTCAGAAAATCCACCACAGCAAAATCCCAAAGAAAGCGCAGCCTGGAGTGAGCAGCCGTGTGATGTTTCTCATACAGTCTCCCTTCTCTCCGAAGCCTCTCAGGATGACTACAACTGTAGTACGGCCAGCAGGAAGTCACAGGAGTCGGAAGAATCCTTTGAATCTGGCTATCGGAGCTCCAGCATAAATTCTGCTTCTCTGGATGCAAGAGATCTTCAACATACGGTTTGTCAAAGCCTTTTTCCATCCAGTTCTGAAAGTCAGCACGACTCATGTGTCCTGATCCAGCAATCTCCAAATAAACCATCCTTTGGGACCAAAAAAGACAGAATAAGTGACCTTGCGTACAAGAGTGTTGATAGCCCTGTGTCTCCATCCCTGGGGCTGTGTAACTCTGCCTACAAGAGCTTTGACACCCTCATGTCTCTGTCTGCGGAGCCCCGTGCCTCGGCCTACAAGAGCTTTGACACCCTCCTGTCTCCGTCCGCGGAGCCCTGTGCCTCGGCCTACAAGAGCTTTGACACCCTCGTGTCTGAGTCTGTGGCTAACAGCAGCCTGACTCTTGATGACACGTGCTCCTCACCACCCTTGCCGCAGTTTTCAGAGACACCAGAACTCAGCTGCAGAGACCAAATTTATCGACCCCCTGGCAATCAGACAAGTTACACCAACCACACATCTCCCTGCACTGAGCTTGATTTTCCAAACCCTTGTTCAGAACATACTGATTTTCCATCTTTCTTCACGCATGCAAATGCCAGTGCTTCAGCCTCCCACCCGGAGGAAGAAATCCCTAAGCAAGTGACATATCAGAACATTCAAAAGAAAGAAAACAGGATTTCTTGCCCCACTGAACCTCAGCCATCTGGTTATCGACCTTTTGATGATGCAGTTAAACATCATGATAGGTGTTATGACAGTGACAGGGAGGTTCCCTCTCGGTCACTACAGGAACCCAGCATTCATCTTTCCTACAGCAATTTGAGAGAAACCCCCCTGGGTACCGCAGTCTGTGAACCTGAGCAGGGGGCAGGCGACCACGTGTGTTTAACTGTACAGGATTTGGAGTGCGGCACTGTCCCAGGTTTCGCCTCTGGTGAGAAGGTCACGCAGCCCAGCGACGGCAGCCTCTGGGTCAGCTCTGGTGAGCTGTCTGGAGACAGCAGAGGTGGAAATGCCAGCAGAGCCCATCAGCTGTTGCGTCTTTTGGAGCTGAACAGCCAAGAGTTTAACAGCAGAGAGAGGACTGTAAAGGGGACAGAACCTGGCAGCTGGGACTGCCCTGCTGAAGGAGGGCAAGGGAGCGGCAGGAACAGCGTAAATACTGCCCTTCACGGCCGCGCTCACGACTGCCCGGGGAACCTTGGAGACGCCGGGGAGAATGAAGAGGAGGTGAAGCGTGTGGCGAGCAGGAGGCGCGGCTCAGCAGCCAGCTTTCCAGAGCCACCGCTGGCCAGCTTTGGGCTACACTGGGAAAGGAAAGCTGCGGAGCTCCTGGCCTCCGAGAAGTTACCCCCTCCTCTTTCTGCGGCTAACCCCTGCCCGGACTCTCAAGCCATTCACAGTGAGGGTTCCAGGCCGGAACAAAGACCCTTAGAACTGTTGAGGGAAAACCACAGAAAGAATGAGAAAAAACTGAAACTCCTGCAAGCCCTTGCCCAGGAGGACAACAGCTACATGCAGGTGGCCTAGCCACACTTGCCGAGGCTGAACCGAGCCAGACTGATGGCAAATCCAATAGTTGTTTGTTCTTCCCACCCTGCCTGGAGTGAGGGCTGCCGCAGGCCAGACGTGGATTTGGGGGGCTCTCAAACTCCTGCCCGCTGCAGGGCGGGCAGCCGGTATGTGACGCAGGCCCCGGGCCGTACTGGGGGTTAGCCCCTCATGGCAGCCACAGCTCAGGCCGTGGGGCGAACCCAGAGCAGAAGTTTTCGGGCCGTGATTGTCTGTAACCATGAGCAGCAGCTGCTGGAAGTGGAGTCCTTAGGGCAGCTCCCAGGGCGTTGCCTTGGCTCCGTGTGGCTTGGGAAGCCCAGGGAGGTTGTGGGGAAGGTGCTGGCGTACCTGGCAGTGGGGCATAGGTTCAGGTGGAAGGGAAGGGGCTGACTTGCGGTGACAGCGTCACACAGCTTCCGTGATCTCCTGGGGGAAGGGCCGTCCTGTGTGCCTACCCCCAGCACGGGGTATGTGTTTCTATACTTGCTCAGTCAAGACCTGTCTTAAATCATATTTAATAAATGATTTATTAATAGATCATTGTCGTTTGGGGTTAAGCAATGCTGTCACTGATGCTACAGTTTCTTACTCTGTAGGAGTAAGCAGAGTTAGTTCATGTGGCATCAGACATTCCTCAGCAGTGTTTTCCCCGGAAGCTTATCCAGCCTATGGTCAGGCTCCCAAAACGCATGGAGCAGTTGTTCCGTAATGGGAATCACGCCTGCAGCCTGAAGGCAGCATATGCTTCTTGGGTAAGTTTTGTAAATTGGAATCAGAAGTCCCTTCGGGAGGATCCATTCCAGGCTTCCATGATGGGAAGTAAGATCAGCTGACTTGGGGCTGGCTCCAGGGCTGCCGGGGAGGTGTGCCAACCTGCCACCCCCGGGGCCAGCCTGTGCGTGCTGCAGACAGCAGCTCCACTCCTCAAGGCTGGGACCCTCCAAGGACATCCTTGTCAGCTAGCAGAGGGCTCATACCAGGACAGAACTGCTGATCGTAGCACCTGGTTTTGGTAGTTTTCAGGTGGTTTTGTGAGGCTGCTGGGCGAGTGGAGGCCTGTACCCAGCGTCAGCCTCATTACAATGCCATTTACTACCCACTTGCCATCACCGCCCCCACACCTTTCTCACCTGGCTGCCAGCCACGTATTGGCAGCCCCGCTTACCATGAGCAGAAGGGTTTCCTGGGAAAAGTAGGTGTGTATTCCCAGCTCAGGAGAAGCTAGTTGTGATACACAGAGAACTGGGCTTGTTCAGCCTGGAGAAGAGGAGGCTCCGAGGAGACCTCATTGCAGCTTTCCAGTATCTGAAGGGGGCCTACAAGGGTACTGGGAGAGGACTTTTTACAAGAGCCTGTAGTGATAGGACAAGGGGTAATGGGTATAAATTGAAATCAGGGAGGTTTAGATTAGATGTCAGGAAGAAATTCTTCCTGGAGAGGGTGGTGAGGCACTGGAACAGGTTGCCCAGAGATGTTGTGGATGCCCCATCCCTGGATGTCTTCAAGGCCAGGCTGGATGTGGCCCTGAGCAACCTGGTCTAGTGGAAGGTGTCCCTGCCCATGGCAGGGGGGTTGGAACTAGATGATCTTTAAGGTCCCTTCCAACCCAAACCATTCTATGATTCTGCAGTGAGTGCCACAGCCTTGCCTTTTTTCTTCCTCTTCTTTCTGAACTTTGGCTCCTCGGACACACGCACCTGTACGGAACAGCAGTTGGCAGATGCCCCAGCCACGAGGTTTGTCACTGCCTGTGGAAAACGAACGATAACCACGAGACGAGGGTGAGACTAGTGTAGAGCAGGAGCTTGAGGATGTGAGGTCAAGTTCTTGGGGGTAGGGACAATTTAATTTAGGGTGCAGCTTGTAACTTGTCTCTGCATCTTGCTTTGGGCCCCTGTGCCGTTCAGGCGGGGTGCGAGGGTGTCCAAGTGCTTATCCATCATCAGCTGCAAAGAAAACAAGTTCTTTGAGGTGATGCGTTCTAGCAGTGACGTGGCCAAAGGACCAGGGTGAGAGACGCAAAGGAGGGGGTTGTGACTCCAGCACCCTGCTCCCTAAGGCTTACCTCTGCTTGGAATTCTGTGACAAAGCTCCTTAGTGAGCAGAGGCTGGGCGGACAGCTTGCTTTCCCCCCGCCCTGTCTCTTCTGTAGGAAGCTCCCTGGGGAGCCTGATGCGTGCAGTTCGTGTTCCAGCTCTGACAGAGCTGCTTCCCGAGGGTGCAATTTTGCATGCAGTTGCTTTCACAGGGAATAGGTGTTTCTGGCTAACTCTCAGGGGAGCTGTGCCTGGACAATGCACAGGCATGTGCACGCAGGCATTTCCCCTCCTGCAGGGTGCTGTAGCAGCATCACGCATTACCCAGAGCTGTACCTTTTCTCCCCGTGCTGCTGAGCCAGGCAGCCCCCTCACGCTGGCAGTTCCCATCGGGTGTCACAGCCCCCAGCCCACACGGCCCCTCCGACTGAACCACGGCATCGCAACCACGCGGCACCTCGGCGTGAACTGACGAGCAGCGCAGCGAGACCCATGAGCCCGTCCACTTCTCAGGGGCAGGACTGTCGCCCCTCAAAGCAGATTGCTCCAAAGCCAAGGAAAAAGCAGGCGAGGGAGGGAGGGGGCACCTTCCAGGTACCTCGCTAACACCTAACCAGATTGCCGTTCCCGGTGTGTTTTCCCAGCGTGGCTGGTGGCAGCCATCAGCAGCACCAGCAATGCTGTGCAGCTGAGCTCCACGTCTCTGCTGGCCAAAGGGGCTTGGCTCTGTCCCTTGTGCTGTCCTGCTTACATCCTGTCCCTTCATGGCTTCCTATACCGTGGAAATTTCCACACAGCCACCTTCTACCCCTGCAGCAAGACTGCAGGACTAAAGAGAAGGAAAACTGGCTGCAGCCCCAGGTGGATGGGGGAGCTGACTGCTGTGGCACAGGGAGAGGAGCAGACGATTCCTTCTTTTTTTGCTCTTAGCCAGAATAGAATCATAGAATCATAGAATGGTTTGGGTTGGAAGGGACCTTAAAGATCATCCAGTTCCAACCCCCCTGCCATGGGCAGGGACACCTTCCACTAGACCAGGTTGCTCCCAGCCTCATCCAGCCTGGCCTTGAAGACATCCAGGGATGGGGCATCCACAACATCTCTGGGCAACCTGTTCCAGTGCCTCACCACCCTCTCTGTGAAGAATTTCTTCCTGACATCTAATCTAAACCTCCCTGTTTTCAATTTATACCCATTACCCCTTGTCCTATCACTACAGGCTCTTGTAAAAAGTCCTCTCCCAGTACCCTTGTAGCCCCTTCAGATACTGGAAAGCTGCAATAAGGTCTCCTCGGAGAGAGAGAGAGATATTTTCTAAAAACCTCTGACCATCTGTGCGGGAGACCTGAAATTCTGCATTCCGAATGCAGAGGGGCAATTGCAATGGCAAGAGCCGTGGTACCAGCCCGTGACCGGCAGCTTGCTTCAAGAGGGTGACTGTGCTCGACCTGCCCCAGTCCTTGGAGCATGGCAGGCGTCCGGAGGAGCTCCCGTCCCAGTCCAGTGATGGCTCGGCCGCTGCCATGCTCCTGGCTGTGCTCCGTGGGATCAGAGCAGGGCATTCTTAGCAGCACGGTGTTTGTCCTCTGCTTGACGATGACTGAGCCAGTGACTAACATCGCTGGGACTTTCCTACTCGCTGCTGTTCCCCCAGCTCTTAGACATGGGGGAATTTGCCATAAGCTGAAGAGTCTGAGGTTGGCTGCTTCTCCCCAGCTCCGCCACCGCTGGTTTCGCTTGCAGTGAGCCACCCACACAGCAGCAAGAGTTCCAACAGGGTGTGAAAGCTCTGCACTGCCTTCTGGGGGTAGAATTTCCACACCCAGCCAGGGCCGTAACCAGCCCTGGTTCCTGTCGAGGTGCTCCAGAGAGCTGCTGTGGGCCACACAGCCGTGGCTCTGAAGTCCATGCTTGTGGCCCGTGGCAAGCAGCCAGCGGTGCCTCGAGGAGCTGGCTCCGGCGCTCTGTGCCGCGCTCACTGACCAGCGCGTAACCCACAGGCGTGGGGTTTAAAGGCTTGTTGCTCCCCCCTGCCAGGCTGAGGGGCTCCAGGAGCACCCAGCATGTTCCTCCACAACATGAGCGTGGCACAGAGCCACCAGTGCCTTGTTTCCTGCACAGGGGTAGGAATTAGGAACCAGAATGTAGCATGTGCTGCCTATTCCATGGCCTCGCTCTGAGCTGTGCTGGGCCCCGGCAGCAGACACCCGTCTCCTCTGGAAGCAGCCAGGATTCTTCCAACTTCTGGTCAGGCCAGCCGTGCTGTTCCCATGACTTAAGAGCCTTCACTGTGCTCCCCTGCGGGAAGGACCAGCCCCAGTTGTCTCCAGTTGGTGCATTACACGGCGCTGCTGTGGCCTCCCGCTGCACCCAGCACATCACCCTCCAAGGGCCACACGCAGCAGGGTAAGGAGGGTGGAAACGGGGCTGTGCCCGCTGCTCACACAACAGCAGCAGGGCACCCGTGCAGCTTCCTCGTTCAAGCAGGAGCCTCCCACCACAACCAAAGCCACTGGAGAACACGGAATCCCCCGGCCCCTGCGCTCTGTACAACTATCTCCAGGCTGCTCTTCTTGCTGAGCACTGTGAAGGTTTGCCCGTGCCGACTGCGATGCAGACACACCAAAGGGGCACAACTTCATCACATTAGTCCCTGTGTTCCAGTGGAGCAAATAACCCCACATTCTGGGTTTTTTAGCCTAAAAAAACCCAAGCTCCTGCCTTCTGCCACCCTACAACGAACTCCCACCAGCATCATAGCAAAGATGCAGCTCCACAAAGCTGGGACTGCCCCAACGAAGTCTCACCCACCCTTTTGGCTTCTCTACGCACAAAGGTGTTTAGATGTTATTTAAACACTGCTTGCTTTGGAGCAATCTGTTTCCGTGAAAACATGTTTTGTCTCTATGTGCTTGCAAGGTGCTTCTCATAAACTCTGCC